ACTCAAAGTTGCCCATCCCTGTTCTAGGCCATCCCTGGTTAGCTAAACACAAGCCCCATATTAACTGGACTCACAGTTCTATCCTATCTTGGAGCCTGTCTTGTCATGTTGAGTGTTTAGTGTCTGCTGTTTCTCCTGTTTCTGTGTTTCAGGAGGAGGCTGGGGATTTGTCTGGAGTGCCGGGGGAGTACCTCGATCTGCGGGCGGTGTTCAGTCGCTCCTGGGCCACTTCTCTCCCTCCCCATCGACCTTATGATTGCGCTATCGATCTCATTCCCGGTACCACTCCCCCTCGCAGACAACTATACTCCTTGTCTGCTCCTGAACGTAAGGCATTAGAGAAGTATCTCTCCGAGTCCCTCACGGCTGGTACCATCGTTTCTTCCTCCTCTTCTGCTGGCGCTGGATTTTTTGTGTGAAAAAGAAGGATGGGTCCTTACGCCCATGCATTGATTATCGGGGGTTGAATAATATCACGGTGAAGAACCGGTACCCTTTGCCGCTCATGTCTTTTGCTTTCGAGATCTTGCAGGGGGCAAAGGTTTTCACAAAATTAGATCTGCGTAATGCGTACCACTTGGTGCGTATTTAAGAAGGAGATGAATGGAAGACCGCGTTTAACACGCCCCTAGGGAACTTTGAATACCGGGTTCTTCCGTTCGGTCTGGTCAACGCTCCAGCCGTTTTTCAGGCTCTGATTAATGATGTTCTAAGAGATATGCTTAACGTCTTCGTGTTTGTTTATCTTGACGACATACTTATCTTCTCGCCTTCTTTCCAGGTGCACGTCATGCATGTTCGTCGCGTCCTGCAGCGTCTCTTAGAAAACCACCTCTTTGTCAAAGCTGAGAAATGCACTTTTCATTCACAGTCCGTTACGTTCTTGGGATCATCGTGTCCGCCGATGGCATAAGTATGGATTCTTCTAAGGTTCAGGCCATCACTGATTGGCCTGTGCCCGATTCCCGTATCGCTCTCCAACGCTTCTTAGGCTTTGCAAATTTTTACCGACGATTTATTCTGAATTTTAGTCAGGTCGCCGCTCCGCTTACGACGCTCACCTCGATCAAGTCCCGTTTTGTCTGGACCGAGGCGACCCCGGCTGCGTTCGTCCAATTGAAGACCTTATTTACCACCGCCCCTATCCTAATTAAACCTGATGTCGAGAGACAGTTCATCGTTGAGGTCGACGCTTCTGACTTGGGGGTAGGCGAGGTGTTTTGCAGCGCTCGCCTCTCGACAATAAGGTTCACCCATGCGCGTTCTTTTTGCACCGTCTCTCGCCTACTGAGCGCAATTACGACGTGGGTAATTGTGAATTGTTGGCCATTCGACTGGCGTTGGGAGAGTGGCGTCATTGGTTGGAGGGAGCGTCGCATCCGTTCATAGTCTGGACGGATTATCGTAATCTTGAGTACATTCGGTCCGCAAAGAAACTGAATGCCCGTCAGGCTCGTTGGGCACTTTTTTTCTGCTGTTTTGATTTCTCTATCTCTTACAGACCTGGTTCTAAGAATGTGAAGCCTGATGCTCTGTCCCGCCTTTTCGACTCCTCAGAGAGTGCCAATACCAAGGAGAACATTCTGCCTCAGAAGTGTGTGGTGGGGGCTACTGTTTGGGGGGTCGAACGGGTGGTTAAACAAGCCCTGAACCATGCTGTCACTCCTCAACGATGTCCTAAACAATTGCTATTTGTTCCTGAATCCGTTCGCCCCGCGGTCCTTCGATGGGGTCATTTGTCCAAGATTGCCGTCCATCCTGCACGCTGGGCACGCTGGGTGTCATCCGTCAAAGGTGGCCTTTGGTGGCCTACTAGAGAACGCGATATCTGCCGTTTTGTAGCTTCGTGTCCTGTCTCCGCCCAGACTAAGTCGAGTAATTCGCCTCCTGCCGGGTTTCCGACCCCTTTCGATTCCGTCACGTCCTTGGTCGCACATTGCTATAGACTTCGTTACGGGTCTGCCTCCATCCTTGGGGAACACCGTTATCCTGACCGTGGTGGATCGATTCTCTAAGGCCGTTCACTTCATTCCACTTCCTAAATTGCCTTCCGCTAAAGAGACGGCTCAGTCGGTGGTTAATCATGTCTTCAAGCTCCATGGTCTGCCTACTGACGTTGTTTCTGATAGGGGACCACAGTTTGCTTCTCAGTTTTGGAGGGAGTTCTGTCGGCAGATTGGTGCTACTGCCAGTTTGTCGTCGGGATTCCATCCCCAGACTGACGGGCAGGCCGAACGTTCTAATCAGATTTTGGGTATAATGGTCCGTAGTCTTGCGTTCTAGAATCGTTCGTCCTGGTGCGAACAGTTGCCATGGGCGGAGTATGCACACAATTCTATACCATCATCCGGTACTGGTCTATCTCCGTTTAATTGTTCCCTCGGCTACCAACTTCCGCTCTTTCCCTCACAGGAACGCGATGCTTCCATTCCGTCGGTTGAGGTATTTATTCAGAGATGCCGTCGCACCTGGAAGAGAGTGAGAACAGCCCTTTGTCGGACTAGGGCGCTCACCCGCCGAGCCGCTAACCGCCGTCGTGTAAGGTCTCCGAAGTACGTTTGTGGCCAGCGAGTCTGGCTGTCCACTCTTAATCTACCCCTTCAGTCCAGTTCTCGTAAGCTCTCGCCTCGGCTCGTCAGACCTTTTTCCATTACTAAGGTCCTTAACCCTGTTGCAGTCAGGCTCAAGCTTCCTCCTAGATTACGTCGCATCCATCGTGTGTTTCATGTGTCGTGCATCAAACCCATTATTCGGAGACCTGCCCGTCCGGTTCCACCTCCTATTCTTGTCGAGGGTTCACCTGTTTATGGGTCAATGACATACCGTTCGCAGACTCCTGGATGTTCGTCCTCGAGGTCGTGGTTTTCAGTATCTGGTCGATTGGGAGGGATATGGTCCCAAGGAGAGAAGCTGGATTCCCTCCCGGGACGTCCTGGACCGTTCGCTCATCGAGGACTTCCACCGTACTCACCAGACTTCACCTTTGGGAGCGCCTGGGGGCGTACTGTCATGAATCAGCCTTCTCTCTCTCTTTTCCCTTGTTGTCTACACACGCACATACGCTCAGCTGTTTCTCATTATCTCACCCTTCGCGCTGCGCACACACTTAGTCGATCCCATTCATGGTTTTCCCCTCTCTCTCTTCTCTCAGCTGTTTCCCATAGTAATTAACACTTACACTGATCCTCTCACCTGTGCTCGTTTCCCCTCTAATTCATTCGGCTACTTCTAATCACTGTTTTCTCTGTTTCCTTGTCAGTTTATTGTTGTACGTAGAGCTTTCGCTGTGTCTCTTCGTTTACAAGACTTACCAGTATATCTCCCACGAGATCTGCACTGTCCAGTCCTGTCCTGTCCTGAACTGTCGTAGTAGATGTGTTTCGCTTGGAGATTCATCATTGTTCTCTGCCCAGTTCACCTGCCGTCTAAGGAGATCCTACCAGCCTGCAACCTGTGAGTTTTCTTCACTGGGCTCAGAAAGAGTTCTCTGCTGCTGCTCGCCTGCTCGCCTGCTCGCCAGCGCTGAACCAACTATCGACTTTCACTGCTTTGTGTTGTGCACTGAACAATTTATTTTCAAGTTATTGAGAAATAAACTCAAGTAAGAATTTCAAGTTATTGAGAAATAAACTCTTTTACTGCATTTCCTCTGCTTTTGGGTCCTCTGTTCTAAGCGGTGACAATATCTTATCACCACTTGTTTTTGGTGGTTGTAAGTGTATAACAAAGGTACAAAACATATATTTGTATAGGTTGGTATATTAATATTATCAGTTAATGAAATTTATTACATTTTTACTGTAAATTTAAGTTAGGGACTGTTCGTTATTTATTTAAGGGGCCACCAGAGGAGATTTGAGATCTGTATTCAGAAAAGACTTGACCCTCCCTTCGCCAGCAATATTTTTTTCTATGACCCTCCAAAATGATTGTGAAAAAAGGCATGACCCTCCCCGATAATTTATTGATTACTTCTGTACTGGTTTGCGCTTGCCAAATATGTTCATATAGCCATGATAAACGACTAAACTCTTGCTTTCTCATCTTACTAGGGCTGTAACGATAGACCAAACCTACAATTCGGTTTGTATCACAAGTTTTGATTTGAATTTTTTATTTTTATTTTTTAATCATGTTTTCGGTGCTGATGCAGTGGTGACGCGTTTATGTAACGTGCAATTTTGTGCTCAAGTTGAAAGGCATTTTGTGCATAGTAAAACATATCTGCAACATTTATCAAGTTCACTGATAATTGTTGTGCATGCATTTATTAATCATTTTGATAATAAAATCATAATAAAGTAGTATGCTTCCCTTTCAATAGTCCAAATTCACAGACATTTTCGTCTTTCTTCTGTGGATTTCATCAGCTCCTGATTGATCAAAATTCAGATAGATCGACAAACCGGCTCATTCCGCACAGCGCACACACCTCACGAATTCAAGCCTACAGCTCAGATTTACTTACTAACTGTTCTGGAAACGCAATAAGAATGGAAACTAAAATATGGTCGTATCATTCTACAGCGCACATTATATCAGCTGCAGTTCGGGCGTCTCAGTCCCAATACAGTCGACGTACATTCACATCACATGTTAATGCAGCGGTAGAGTTACACACACAGGACAATGCACTTATTCACAATAACAAAAGTTCATTATTTGCTCGTGCTTTAAAACTTTGCCGGGTAAACATTTCTTTGCCGTTCTGTTCTAATGCACTTTTTCTGAGCGCGTACTGAAGCGCGCACAGACTGTCAAACAGCGCCACCAAAGCTGGCGCCACTCAGAATTTTGTTGGGTCAGACCCATCTGACAGCGATGGCGGTGGGGCCGAGACCGAGAGAGCTATATGGAGCTACATGGAAAAAAATATGCACCAAACAAGCCACTTTGAAATTTACCTGTTTTGATGAATACAAAAGTTGGGTGACCCTCCCCCTATAGACTAAAAAAAGTTGGATGACCCTCCCCTCATCAAAGAATAAAAAGACATGAAATTTTTCTTAAATTTCACAGACTTTTTTTTTACAGTGATTAAATATCATCTAAGTTATATCAGTTGTAAATATAGTGTGACAATATCAATGACAAATGATATTTACATGCATTTTATGCAAGTAGTCTGCTATACTGTTACAAAGATCTCACTGATTTACATTATAAGTATGTGATCTTAGCTGTTGTCCATATAAATATAAGCAGCTACAAAAATGGCATATTTTTACTAAATTATTTTCCTCCTAAAGTATGAGCGCCATATTATCCTATTATTTCATACTACATGACCTATAAAATCCTGATGTATCAGATACTCAACAAAAAAAAAACCACACACATCTACAAGATATTTTTCAGATTGAAGGTTTCAAGGTTCAAAGGTTTTATCTAAAATGTTCTTTTTCTAAAAGGTTCTCTTCCATTAAAAAATATATATTTCTTACTGTTATCTCAAGATTTACTGGGTGAGTAGACCTAGTGAAATAAAACATTGAAGTTGATTCAGACCTTCACAAAACAGTTAAGATCAAGGACCATAAGTAATAATAACTGCCCTAATCCATTTAGGTCCACACACTTGTTCCTCAAACAACAGAGATCAGCCAAGATGTAGTATGTCTCTTTTCTTTTTTGTGGGCCACTCTGTCAGGCATGTGTCTTGTGACTCTCTAAAACTCAATTACCCGCTCCTCTTTTTACTCATTTTGCCATTTTCACGGAAATACTCTGCTTGTCCACATAATTATAATGCTTAAAAATAGGCTAGATACTGCTTTAAACAAACCAGAGCAAACAAAGCTAGTATTTTAACTACATGGAAAGAACTTCACATGCATCACAAAGTACCAAACTGAATCAGTCACCCATTACATTAAAATCAGTCACCATTCTTTTTCCTTTCTTCAGTCACCAACTTACCAAAGTTGATGTTGTATTCGCCACCCCGCTCGCGGTACATCTGGTAGACGAAGAAACAGGAAACCGGTTTGAGCAACAGGCTCAGGATGGCCATGCCTGCACTAAAACGGAACAAGTCCGGCGGGTTTGCATTCGTCAAATAGTAAAGACCAAAATGAACAATGTCAGTCAAGATGGTCACTGCCAACCCGATCAAGAACTGAATGAAGAAGAGCACATATCAAACATTAGCATGACAAATATAATATATACAAACACAATAAAATGAAATAACAAGTAGTCGTAACATGCTCAACGGCCATCTTTTAAGCACTTATCTGTTTGGCTGGCCATACAAAAATACAAAATGCTCAGAAATGTATCGTAAACATAAGATTTGAACAGCATTTTTCTATATGTGTAAGCTTTTGGACTTAAAGGTGCAATGTGTAAAAAAAATTCTATTAACAGAAATGCAATATGACATCCATAACTAGTTTTCAGTGGTGTATAAAGAACTAAACCGTAATGTTTTTATTTCCTTAGAATGAGACATTTACATCAACATAACCAGTGGATAAAGTGGGATTTAGCAGGTGGGGGAATCCTCAAATGCCTTTGTCTAGGTGCAACAGGGGAAAAAAATGGTTCACCGTAGGACAACATATTGAGACGCAGATGCGTCAAGTTTAAACAAGGCTTTACGCTTTAACCAGCTCAGCCACAGTAACAGCTCATATTTAGCCAGCTAAACTTTACTACCCTGTTAGAAAAAATACATAGTTTCATGTGTGGGGATCTACTCAGGCAGGCATACAACATACAGTAGCTGCAGCACATCCAGGCAACACCCAGAATCATGTGATCTGTTGTAAGATCACATGACTTATCAGGAACTGATAAAGGTTTGCTAGCTGCAAAGCAGACATTTCTTTTCGGTTGATGCTAGGTGTGGTTGTGTGAGTTGGACTCTCATTTCATGCAGGTATAATTGATCATTGTAGAGCATGTTTAATTACTGCTATTGGTTTTAACACTTATTTATTTCATTTTATTAAGGGTAATTCTAGAAGTGCATGTCTTCTCTTCACGGGGGACACAGGCTTCTGTTTGGAAGTTTAACTTTTATGAGATCACCTCCATTGTGACTCGAGCTGCAGGAATGCAGTGCACTGGTAAATGCCTCAATATGTACATTTTTTTTATTGAATGTGTTATATTTGCATTGAGACATGTTGTAACAACTTTTCTGTGTCCGTAGCAATGGAACGTTCCCCTTTTATCTGCATGTGTTAATGCGCTGTGGCCTGTGGGACAATTGAGCATACTGAAAAGTAGGCCTATATTTTTAGTTATGTTTGAGTTGACCATGGTAATGCTGTTTAATGAGGTTGGTAACTAACATGCTTGGTTTCTCTTGAAAAGGGACCAGGCCAGCCACTGTTTCCATGTGATTTTCTAAGCATTTCTTTATTGCTTCCTGTTGCTTAATTTTTTGTTTGATATTGTTTGGTTATCTGTATTTTTACCACTCATGTGCCACAGTCATATTAGCATTTATTTTTCTTGACTAAGTGTTGCCTTTTATGCTGGTGGTTCTCCTCCCTGACCATGTCTTTTGCGTAGGTTATCCTTGTACAAGGACTGATCTAGACTGATGCATTGCCCCTTCTCTTCAAGGGACCACACTGGGCGAGACACCATAGTGGTGTGTACTTAATAACTACAACACGGTGTGACATTTTGTAGTGGTATCTAACGGTCTTAAGTGTGTATAGCTTGCTGTGTTGCATGCTTCGACTGGTGCTGGGTTGCTGTCTCCTGTTTCTGTCTCCCTAGGGGCCTCCTGAGCAGGGGTTGTGCATTCGCTGATCCGACCTTCCTATATGGAGGAAAATCCACCAGCCATTTATCCTAGCATTTTTTAAGATCTATTTTAATAACTTTTCTGTCTTTTTTCACAAAATTATGTAATAAATTTTACGGAAGCCCTGAACCGCAACCTAAAAAAAAAAAAAAAATCAGTAAAAAAAAAAAAAAAATCTGTAAAAAAAAAAAATCTAGCATTTCGAGATTAAAGTTGAAATGTTTCGAGGTTAAAGTCGGAATGTTTCGAGATTAAAGTCGGAATGTTTCGAGATTAAAGTCGGAATGTTTCGAGATTAAAGTCGGAATGTTTCAAGATTAAAGTCGGAATGTTTCGAGATTAAAGTCGGAATGTTTCGAGATTAAAGTCGGAATGTTTCAAGATTAAAGTCGGAATGTTTCGAGATTAAAGTCGGAATGTTTCGAGATTAAAGTCGAAATGTTTCGAGATTAAAGTCGAAACATGTGCATTCATAACAGTGCGCGTCCACTGGCTCAGAGCGTGTGCGTGTGTGTGTAAAGTCGAACTGCCATGGATAAACACAAAATAGTAGCTTTTTACTTTTATCTGAGTTACTTATCTTACTTTATCGTTATAAAATATAATGCGCCGGAATAGACTTTAGTCTATAGGAAAACCAACACGGAAAACACTTTTCAGACTGGATGGAGAAATCCAGCTTTATGAATGAATGAATGAATGAATGAATGAATGAATAGGGCATTTATATAGCGCTTTCAAATATGCCTACACTCAAAGTGCTTTACAATCATATCAGAGAATCTCTCCTCAACCATAAGTGGTTATTAAATCTTAGGAAATCACAGGATCCGGCCAAATGATTGGATACAGAATGATGCACTTAAAATGTATCCAGAGCGAATTTACGTTGAAGAGGGAGACCAAACAGTTACTGTTGTGTTCTCGACCCAGATAGTGTTGACTAGACGAGCACGAAAACACCTCAGAAACACTGCCACTAGCACGTGTGACGTGTGTAGAATTGTGTTGAAAGCCCAGATAAAAGTAAAAAGCTACTATTTTGGGTTTATCCATGGCAGTTCGACTTCACACACACACGCACGCACGCACGCACGCACGCACGCACGCACGCACGCACGCACGCGACTTTTATCTCGAAACATTTCGACTTTAATCTCGAAACATTTCGACTTTAATCTCGAAACATTCCGACTTTAATCTCGAAACATTCCGACTTTAATCTCGAAACTTTCCGACTTTAATCTCGAAACATTTCGACTTTAATCTCGAAACATTTTGACTTTAATCTCGAACCATTTCGACTTTAATCTCGAAATGCTAGATTTTTTTTTTTTTTTTTTTTTTTTTTTTTTTACAGGTTTTTTTTTTTTTTTTTTAGGTTGCGGTTCAGGGCTTCCGTAAAATTTGGAGTATATTTACATATTTGTCTCTTGTTGACTGTCCCTTTGCGGGGATAAACATTATTAGCCACACTACATTCACAAGAGGATTGGTGGTTCCCCCTGCCCATCATCAGGGGGTGGCGTAGTCAGACCTGAAATAAGGTATACTGCATGGCAGGTACCACACATGTGGTTCTTCTCCCTCGATATATTATGGGTTTGCTACAGTATGTGGGGAGAAATGTGCTGGTTACGTTCGTGAGACAATCAGCTGATTACTATTATTATATTTTATTTATTAAGACCCTTCCTCACCTGACCATGATGTGGTTTATAATGGACTGTGGTACAGAAAGAGTGATAATGTTACACACTCTTGGCTTACTCTGGCCATTCTCTGCTGTCTCAGACGATAATATGTTTGTCCCATTTTAGCAACAGTAGCTTCTCCAAACGGAAGGGGAGCAGTGGTCTGAGAACTTAGTGCAACTCACAACCGAACCGCTAGATGTTGCTAAAAAATATACACTGCACCTTTAAAAGCCTTAAAAGGGGTCCTATTATGCCCTTTTAAGTCTTGATTTTGTTTTTGGGGTGTACTAGAATATGCTTTCATGCTTGATTGTTTACATGTTATTTTTTACATAGTTTACATTATTACAGCTCCATTCTCCCCAGTCTGGCCCAAACGGGTTGTTTAGTACCGGTTTTTATGAAGCCCCTCCATTCGAAATACAAAATCTGCTGTGATTGGTTAAGCCTTGTTCACACTACATGATTTTAAACCGTCGGGCTTAACTGTGCGGTTCACACTACATGACTTGCTCTCAGTGAAATCAGGAGTGTTCAAGTTGTTTAGCTGTTCACACCACACAACACAACGTGTGAGGCGTCTGCGAGTGTTTTCGCTGCGTTGTTGGCTCTTTTATACTAACAGATTGGCAAGCGTTCATCGTCCGCTAATCCCCCGAGATTTGCACGCGAAAACACCCTGACCTGTCGGCGAGCTCAAGGTTTTGCAAATCGGGCATAAATCGGGCTTAAAATTCTGTAGTGTGAACTTGGCATTAGCTGGCCCAGTGTGTTGTGAAATGTCCCACCCTTCCAAAACTGTGAGTTCTGCTCTAGTGTAAATTCAAAGGATGGCAGCAATTTCAAATTCAGATTCAGACCCTGACAATGTTAAACAAGAGGAGCATCCAAAACGTATTCTCTTATGAGAGGTTCTCTCATACTGCGTAAATCTTACGCTAGGGGAAAATCTCTTTTCCATAAGATATTGAAGCCAAAAAAAATCCTTAATTTTGATTTAATGTAAAACGTGTTGTGGCAGCATGCAGACATAGGCAAGGTGGCTTAGCGTGCCTATTGGCTGTTCTGCGGCAACTGCAGCAGCCTATCGAGAGAGCCGCTTTGGTGACGGTCCAATGGCCAAAGCTGGTGTGGCTTAGCCCTATAAATATAGCTTGAGGCTGATTTTTCATCTCTTCAGTGAAGCTCACTCATCGCTGGATCCAGAGTGAGAAGCCGCACCTTCGGGAAAGCCTTCTGCGGGACGAGCCATTTCAACTGAAGTCACTGGCCTTCATTTTGCTGCCTTCAGTCGCCATTCCTGCTACGCTATCTGGCTTCCATATCCTTTTAAAATATTGCATTGCTCTGCCTAGTGTGTTTTTGCCACCACGACTCACGCTTTCTAAAAGAGCTGCGTCTTTTTAAAGATGCCATCCTCCTGTGGCTCGTGCTGAGACATACATACAAGTTGTGATCCGCAAACAACAGATTGTCTCGACAAAGTCGAAACTGTTCCATTTCAGAAGAAACTTTTCCGCAATTTTTCTGTGTAGGCTGCATCGTGGTTCTGGAAGCTGTCCTTTATAAACTTTGCACCGCACAGAAAAACATCAGGAGTATATTGTTCAGGAACAGTATTTAAAATAAATGAGACCCATTCTAAGTTCGTCAGCTTTAGGAAGGTCAAACAACAAATGAGTTTTGGGGGGAAAAAAACAGCGTCTCTTTTACATAGCAGCAGCTCAGCCAGGCCTTGTCCACTTTTCTGCATATACAGTGGGTGGGGATTTTTTTTAAATGAGGAACAAGTTTGTTGTAGTTCTTAGAAAAAAGAGGATTCTGTTAAATAAAATATCTCCCTTTGGATTGGACTTTTTGAGTGGAGATCAACATTTGAAACCTTGCAGATCTTTTTTATGCTCAAACAGCAACATTACACACTAAATTTGAAATTTTGAAAAAGCATTATAGGACCCTTTTAACAGAATTGTTTTGTGCAATCTAGTTTTCAGTCAGCTGGTGAAATGGTGTGGTTGTGTGATGTTGTTCAATGGAGGCGTGTTAAAGGCAGGTTTTAGGGCTGCACCGCAGGGCTATTGGCCTGACAGTGGAAACGCAACTTGATTTTGACCTCTGTGCTCGAGGTTCTGTATTAGCCCTTCCTGGCACATTGTTAGCCCTGGCTCGCACTGGCACGGCAGTAGAAAAGCGGCTGATGTGAACCAGACTTTTTGGCCAGTCAAAAGCATGGCTATGAAGTACTCAAATGTCATAAATGTGTGGATTTCTCATCTGTAATCAATACTGAATAAAATTAATGTCTAGGCCTTCATGATCTGAAAATCATGCTCTTCATGAATGAAAAAAAAAATCACACTTACCAATAATACAGCATCTATGGAGTCTCTCTGTGCTATGGCCCACACTCCCACTGCAAGAACGCTCACATTCCCCAACACATAAGAAGTAGGAAGCCAGGGAAATGAGCATGCCCTGCACATAAACACACATTTAACTGTTAAGACTAATGTTTTAATTATTTTAATTCAATAATTGTATATATCCTGATTCTTCTCAGCCACCCTGCCCCATATATGCTGAGCTGGTTGGTGTTATAGAACGCGCTGCGGGCAGGCTGCAGCTGCCATGGCTGCTCGTTGGGGGAGAAATCGCTCGTGATGAGAGCAGTTTTTCCCCGGTCATAGAACCACCAGTTCAGGTGAGCCTTTCATTTCTTTGTCAGAGGACATGGAAGAACCCATACTCTGCTTGTACATCAGCCACTAACATCAGTGGGCTAGTCTCACTAATGTTGAGGGGATAGGAGAGCGTGGGTATATGTTGATGGGAGAATCGACACTGAGTGCTCCAACCCTGCCAGTTGAATCGCAGAGCATACATGTCAGCGGGTCAGGCCGGCGCTACCCTGCAGATCATGGCGGTGTTGCAGGTATATCAGGCTGATCTGCTGGGGGATCTCTACCAGGGGGTGGTCTCTTGGTCAGGGGGTGGCTTCTCTTGTGTTGTGAAACTATGTTAGCCCTTGGGCTGTTAGCCACCTCAGGGTAGAGTAGTTGGTCTCTCTCTCATAGGATTTTTTACTTGGAGTTTTGATTGAGGCAAAAAGCTTGCAGGCTGGCCCTCACCAGGGCCAGGGCCACCAAGGCCGCCTCTGTAGCTCGTCTAGGCTGTGCCAGGGATAGTGGAGGCGCTCTGCTCATGCATTTCTGCCTCTTACCCTTCACTTTGTGAATGTAGGTTTCTAGAAAGCATCCCTGTATGACAGCCTCCTCCCATGGGAGTCGTTAGGCCAAGGCCCGTCCCCTTCTCTGCATTCTGGGGCGACAAGAGTAAGGATAGCGTGGTGCAGAGGCATGGTTTATAAAGATCCTGGGTTAGGCCTCAAATAGGCCTCCCTGGTACAATGTGTCTTTATTGAGCAGGGTTAGGCCGTCTTTTACCTCACGAAGAGACTGGGTTTGTCTGTCCGACCCTGCCGTGCAGAACTAACATACGAATCTGGGCCACCAGTTTAGGCTTCACTTACCTCGCAACCTCGCTACTGTTCAGGCGTTGGGCTGTAGGCGTTTTTGCTCACAAACAAGTTCCACTCCCCTAGGTTGGGCACAGATAAATTTTCTGCCAACCGGCCGCTAGCAGGCCCGCACCCTGGTAAACCTCAGGGTGAGGTGGGAGTATTCCCCTGTGATACAGGGTAGGTCTGAGTACTTCAATTTCAGTTCTGTATTATCCTACCTCGCACCACTATGTTCTAGCCTTCACTTCTTCTTTTGTCGAAGTACGCTCCCCTGAAGCAATGCCATGAGCTGACATACCATGCCATGCATACAAATGGTAGGCCCCTAACTCTGGGTCTCTGTGTATGTTGTACTCCCCTTCTTTTAAGGGTCAAGTCAAGTCACATTTATTTATATAGCGCTTTTCACAATACAGATTGTATCAAAGCAGCTTCACAGTGATAACATGAAAGTAGTACAACACAGATCAATAATATTGCTAAACACTAAATAACCCCAACTGAGCAAGCCCAAAGCAAGCCAAAAGCAACCATCTCTCTTGCTGAGTACACTGCCATGGGCAATGTGATTAGGTAACAGAATGCTGTAGGTGCTGTGTAAACAGCTTATCTGCCAACAAAGGCTGCGCTGTTAGGTAGTAGGCCTCAGCAGGCCTCCTTGATTGGAGGCCAAGAGGGCGCTGTAGGCCAGCTTACTTTATGTAGTTGGCCTTGGTGGTTTGGGCAGTTGACTCCTAAAAAATTGTGTCCCAAAATTGTGGGACATACTTAGGTATACCATACTGGTATAGCCGCTACCATGTAGCTAGCCGTATTAGGCCTCCTGTGGCTGGACCCAATAGGTATGTTGGGGTAGTATGGTTCCCAACAGTGTACCTTTGTAGCAGAATTGACTTGCTATCAGCTAGTAGACCCAACCAGGCCTCACTGTTAGGCAAGTCCCCAGCTGGCTGGCCTTAAGCCTAGTTCACACTACGTGATTTTAAGCCCGATTTAAGCCCGATTTGCAAATCGTTGAGTCGCCGACAAGTCAGGGTGTTATCGCGTGCAAATCGCGGGCGATTAGCGGACGATTAACGCTCGCCAATCCGATAGTGTGAAAGAGCCAACAACGCATCAAAGACAGCTCGCAGACAGGTCACCGAGCTCAGAAAAATATCTAGCATGCTAGATATCTCGAGCAGTCGCGCGACTCAATCTCAGTGATGTCATGAGTACAGCCAATCATAGCAACGCATGGGTTGAGGACACCAGGTAAATCTTACTTTTTCTTTTTTGCATTTTTTTTTTCTCAGAGCATATCGTCGAGCAAACAGTGTGCAGCACTAGTTTCTGTCTGACGTCCATATTCGCGTGTTGTGTTCTTCTCTGCAGTTTCGCGTCATTTCTGGTTCGTTTTATTGCGTGGTTTTTCGTGACAAAACATGGTTTCTAGACCAGATAGAATCGTGTTGTCAACTCGTTATTTGTTTGATTATTTTCAGGATTTAGACCGTACTATAGTACTGAAACAGCTCTCATTGAGTCACAAATGATATGCTCTTATCATCCGATCGTGGTTGTATCTCTATGTAGTGCGTTGTTAACTCGTGTAGTGAGTTACCTCCTGTTGTGGATCAATCACGCTGTGTTGTGTGGTGTGAACAGCTAAACAACTTGAACACTCATGATTTCACTGAGAGCAAGTCATGTAGTGTAAACTGCACAGTTCAGCCCGATATTTTAAAATCATGTAGTGTGAACTAGGCTTTAGCAGGCCACCTTGGAACTATCACCCAGACTCAAGTCTCATAGTTACCAGTTGTTATCAGGTAGTAGGCTCCTCAGGCCTCCCTGAAGGTGAATTCACACTTAAGATGGCTATCAGGTATTAGGCCTCACCAGGCCTCCCTGAAGGCGAATTCCCACTTACGCTGGCTAACAGGTAGTAGGCCTTACCGGGCATCAGTTACAGCCAGCCTGACTTACAATCGGGTAGTAGACCTCACCGGACCTCCCTGAAGGTGAGATCCCACATGCTGCGACTCTCAGGTAGTAGGCCTCACTGGGCCTCCCTGAATGTGAGCTCCAAGATATTGTGTCTGTCAGGAGTTCCTACATGCTGTGATTATCAGGTAGTAGGCCCCACCAGGCCTCCCTGAATGGAAACTTTCAGGTAGTAGGCCTCACCAGGCCTCCTTGAAGGTGAGCTCCCACGGACTGTGGTTATCAGGTAGTAGGCCTCACCAGGCCTCGCGAAGGTGAGTTCCCCACATACTGTGGTTATCAGGTAGTTGGCCCCTCCAGGCCTCCATGAATGGGAACTGTCACGTAGTTCAGCCCTTCCTGAAGTTGAGTTCCCTGCATACTGTGATTATCAGGTAGTAGGCCTCACCAGGGGCCTCATTTACAAAACTTTGCGTAGGATTTGCGTCAGAATTGGCGTACGGATGAAACATAGGACGTGCGTACGCACAGAAATATTCGGATTTATAAAACCGTGCGCACGCACATCCTACGCATTTTTCCCTTAATAAATCACAATCATTTCTAAATATAGCGCAGCTTTTGCGGCTTCATGTCACGCCCATAGTTGCCCATAAACAGTCTGTGAAATGCCCACAAGTTAATATTCATCGATTGCGAAATCATGGCAAACACAGAGAGGAAATAAAAAAAAAAACCTAACTTCAGTCAATGTGAAGTAGAAGTTATCGTTGGTGAGGTGGAAAAGAGGAGAAAAATGTTGTTTGTAGGGCACAGTGTGGGCATTACTAATGCCAAAAAGGCACTTGAGTGGCAAAAGGTTGCAGACGCCGTAAATGCTGTAGCCTCACAACCTCTTACTGTGTGGCCGAAATAAAAAAGAAATGGTTGGACATCAAAGTTGAGGCAAAAAGCGTCTAGTCATTAATTCAACCAGAGAGGTTGTCAAGGAGTTGGGAGAAATCAAGACTGTCCTTACTGAAATAAACTGCACAATGAGGGAATTCTTGAATAAATAATATATTTTTTCCACACCTTTTGTTGTGAAGAAGATGCGTTCACTCCGAATCCTTCCATTTGCCACAGCTTCTAAGAGCGCAATATCAGCCATTGTGCGTCATTACACACTGTGATGGGGCATTTTATTTCCATCCATTTAATTGCATCTGACAAACTACAGATGTCGGTTATAATCTACTTGGAAAGAGGAAATAGTTCAGCGCAAATGTAATTTCTTGCAGCTTTCTGAATGGTTGAGACATATGAAGGGGTGGTCAAAATCCATTGCCTCTTCAGCATATATATATCATAATATCCTCTTGAATGATTATGTATTTCTTTTATAAAATCAATAATTAAGTATATTCATTGTTACTTAATCATTTATTGACATAAATGTATTCTTTGTGCTTTTGCTTGTGAAATAATATTCTTAAATGCATGCTGATGACGTACATGCACAAGTCACCAGCTTCTTTTAGGTGCACAAGGCCATTTGTCTCTTTCTCTGGTCTCAGGAGAAAGGTTTATGGATCCTAAAAGGCGTCGTGAACACATATGTCCAACACATATGATACTTCTCTGTACAGATGGTCAAGCTATATTGAGCATTGCTTTATTGAACTTTAATTGTTATATTAAAATGTATTCTTTCTATTATATTTGCTTTCTGAGAAGCAAATGTTATCTGTTTTTCTCCCAAACAAAGTGAATGTTTTACCATTATGTTTTGGTACACTTAACTGATAATAAGACGCTCAGATTCTCTTCAGCCTTGATGGGAGCTCCTATTTGCTAGTGTCCTAGGACCTAGGTGAATGCAGTAACAGTGAAAATAATAGGGAAATAGGGATTTGGTTTATTATGTTTGAGTGTTAAAACATAAAGGGGTCATTGAAGCCAACAGTTTAAGGCACTATTTCTTTGTTGAAGTCTTACTCCAGCTAGACTAAAGTTCAGTGCTAGTCTTCTTAGTTGCAGGTTAAGGAAC